GTTTGGGGTATGAAAAAAAATAAGTTAGGAGATAGGCACTGGGATGTCCTAACAAGAGTTGTATATTTCTTAAAAAGGGTAATTAAACCATGCCTTTCTATAAGGACCTCCATCACCAAGCTGTAAAGCACACCTGGCTAAAAGGTATTCTCCCAGAAAAAGGAATGCAAGTTTGAACCTTGCTGAAAGGTACATTTCTTTAGTAAGACTGTTGATGACCAAGGGTGGTAAATGCAAGTTTCACTGTTTGTAAATAAACAAAAAGATGTCTACTCAAGTGTGTATCCATTTAAGTTTATATAACACAAAGTTTTGAAGTGCATGTATATTTCATATTTTAAAATGCATGATGCACCTTAAAATTAATTATTTAAAATATTTGGCAAAAGGATTTTTGCCTTATTTTTGGAGAAATAAACAAAGTCTTTAATTAATTAATCTGAAAACTTTAAAGTCCAATTCTAATATCCAATTTGAAACAATCTCATAGGATTGATGGGGGCCACTATTTCAAACATATTTAGAAAGATTGGAAAAATTATATAAAGCAGTGTTTTCAAAACTATGGTTCAAATATCCTTGAAAGACCTGTTGAGAGTTTACAGTTAAAAATTTAAGTTAATACAAATTTTAAATTAGAATGACAATAATCCTGGGAACCTTAGATTGAAAATCTGTCATGAATTGGACACACACTATGTAATGGATCATCCTACTGAATGCTGAACATGAGCCAAGAATTAGCCTGCCAAATATCAAACATCATATTGTGGATCTTGTGGCAAATAAACATCATTCCATCATGTAGCTATTGAAAAAAATATTGAACACATACTGGTTTCATTATTAAGAGTTTAATAAATGCAATTCATCCCAGAAATTATTTTAAAGAGGAAAAGTTACCTATTATTTATTAATTATTGTCAAAATTCTCATTAGGCTTTCTTGAAATATGAGCATACCAAAATAGACTTCATCCCACAAATCTAGATTGTGATACCAGGATCAAGTGGGATGCAATCTGAAAGTGAAGTGCTAAAAAGCTTAACTAACATTATTAGCTTACTAACTAACAAACATTTTGCTCTTAAGGTCAAGGTGGAAAAAGCTTATATTTGTAACATTCATAACTCTGGGTATGTGGTAACAAGCATATTTTTATTATTGGGATAATAATAATACTATAGTAAGTGTGTACACATCTTTCCCCACAGTATAAGCTGTTCTGTGTGTGTGTGTGTGTGTGTTTTTAAATCAGAAAAAATGACTAAGCATCATTTTTTTTTGGCAAGGGCAATCCCATCTTGGTTGAGAACTTTTTGACAACCCATCATATTTAAATGCATAAAAATAAAATTTTGCATGAATTTCAAGTTTAATAGCTCAAATATGAATCAGTCAAACACGAAGCAGTAAAATGTTAAGAAGCTATTCTGAAATTATTAAACTATCAACATAGTACAGATAAAAAAAACTGATTATATCTGGATTGGCACATGCTTTCTGGATCAGATTCTCTGTGCACTCTGGTTAGGATCAGTGGAATATCTGTACACTTTAAAAAACATTACAGACACACACATGGTGTTTAAAATGTGCGAAGTTTTAACCTGAGATTATATATGATTAATACAAATATAAAATTTGTCACTTAGCTGATTGATGTTACCTTCAGCATCCCAACTCTTGAGTTTTGTAGATGGACCCTCCAGCAATCGCTCCGTCCACTCGTCAGGAGATATCAGCAATTGACTGTTTATTTTCTCATTTTTCTTTATTATATAATTTTGAATCAGATGTTAACTATTTTTTAATGTTACTGCTACATAATATTTCATAGTAGTATGTAAAATATATGTAAGAGGATATATAAATCCTCAAAACATAAAGAATGAAGTAAAAAGCAATTTCAAAATATTACGTTTATTAAATTTACATAATTATGCAATAGGTGATTTTTTTAAGCATTAGTTACTATAATGTGTAATTATATATTTTTTGAAACATGTGGTAGTGTATTTTATTCAATCCTATGAAAGTAAGTAAAGAAAAAAAAAGTTATACAAGAGATGACTGAATCACAAACTTAGCAGTAACACTGCGGGCTTAACTTCATTTGTTTTGAATAACTAAATGCTAGGATGTTTTTTGTAATAATTATGGCAAATAATATATGAAGAGGCACTGTTCACCAGCAGTTATATAGAGCCTAAAAGGCTGCAACAAGCTATCTAAAAATTTAAAAGCAATATCCATGGCAATAGCTGTGGTGTAGATCAGAGCCATATTGGCAAAACTTAAAGAAAAAAAAATCATGCACTGTGTGCACATGCATACAGCAAAAGTTGGTGGTAACTGTAGCCTGAGCACTGATAACATTAGCAATGGACGGTATATGGTGATTAATAGCTGCAAGGAAACACAATGATAGAAGAATCTTTGGGAGGGAAGGGAGTGACAAGGTTTTAAGGTTGAGAGATTGATATTAAAGAAACAAGTGAGATGGATTTTTTTCTAAAGTCTTATAATA